GTCTCCCAGGTCTCAAAGTCGCCCAATGTCCTCATGTCTCTCAGTGCCCCTAGTGTCTAAAGTCCCCATGTCTCCCAGTATCCCTTAGAGTCTGTGTCCCTATGTCTCCCAGTGTCCCAATGTCACTAGGACACTAGGGGACACTTAGAGACATTGAGACACTGGGAGAGACATGGGGACACTGAGAGACTAGGGACACTGAGAGACATCAGGGACACTGAGAGACATGGGGACACTGGCTGGGAGACATGGGGACACTGAGAGATTAGGGGCCACTGGGAGACATGGAGCCACTGTGTCCCTAGTGTCTCAGGGTCCTCATGTTCCCCAGTGTCCCTATGTCTCCCAGTGTCCCAATGTCTCAGTGTCCCCAAGTCTCTCATCGTCCCCATGTCTCGCAGGCTCGTAGTTGCTGTCTGGACTCTCTGTGCAGAGCTGCTCCCCCGTGGATCAGTGAGTAGAGAGAGGCAGATGCTGTAACTTCTTATCCCTGCCTCTCTCCACACAAACATCGACCCCTACTGGCTGGCGCTGGTATTGCAGAATAATCTCTGTTTATACTGAGATAGACATTTGTATTGCCGGTATTACTGCAATACCGGCACCAGCTAGGCAGCCTCAAATACCTGATAAATACTTCTGAGAAATACCTGGCAACCATAAGAAATACATGAGAAATACCTGGCAACCCTAATAGTAGTGTGAGTAAAAAAAATTAAAAAAAAGTTACATTTTTTTTTTTTTTTTTTAAATCAATGGGCCTGGGCCTGGGCCTGGGCCTGGAGCTGCAGCTCCATCAGCCCCTATGTTAATCCGTCCCTGCATGTGTTGCTAGGTGGACTTTCAAGGCTAAATATCTGGATGTGGAACTCCTTAGCCCCAGATCTCTACACTTTGTTGGAGGGTGCAGGGTGATAATAGTATTTTTTTTCATTTTACATCAGGCAGCTGCTTCTCAAAGTAGCCACCTATTATATCTTTTATATCTATTAGATAAGTTGGATAGTACTCCACCAGACTATTTAGGAGGTAATTGCCCAGGCTGCTGTCAGGAGCCTGATCCTCTTTGGCTGACATGATGGCACTCCCCAAGTGACCCATGCTCCACTTGAGTAGAGTACTGATATGTTGTATAGCATACTGACTTTTATCTGATTAGTGCTTAGGTTCTATATTGCTGCTCAGTACTGCTGGAATATTATTAGGGAACCATAAATCAACGAGTAACATTAAGTGGCCACAAGTAAAATATGAATAACAGTGCCATACGCAAACAACATACACTGATCAGTCACAGCATTATAAACACCTGCCTAATATTTTGCAGGTCCCCCTAATGCTGCCAAAACGTGTCATACACCATGGAATGAACTCCACAAGACTTCTGAACGTGCCCTGTGGCATCTGGCAGCAGGACATTAGCAGCAGATCCTTTTAAGTTCTGCAAGTTGCGAGGTAGGGCCTCCCACAGATGCTCAATTGGATTGATATCTGGGTAATTTGGAGGCCAAGGCAACTTTGAACTCTTTGTCATGTTGCTCAAACCATTGCTGAATAAATTTTGCCATGTGTCAGGGTGCAGTATGCTACTAAATGAGGGCACTGCCATCACAGAACACCAATGCCATGAACTGGTGTGCGTGGTCTGCAACAACCTCTAAGTAGCCACACCGGCCATCCACGGGATCTAAAAGAAAGCATAATTCATGAAACCAGACAACCTCTCCCATTGCTCCATGTTCCTGTTCTGATGCTCATGTTCACATAGAAGGTGCTTTTGATGGTGCATAGAGGTCATCATGGGCTCTCTGACCAGTCTGTGGCTACATATCACCCTAAAGCAGCAAACTGCAATGAACTGTGTTTTCTGACACCTCTCTATCATGGCTAGCATTATGTTTTTTAGCACTTTGATTTACAGTAGCTCTTTTGTGTGATTGGACCAGAAAGGCTAGTCTTCGTTCCCCATGTGCATCAATGAGCCCTGAGCACCCATGACCCTGATGCTGGATGAATGTTTGTCCATCCTTGCACCACTTTTGTTATGTACTAACCACTGCATACGGGAAACTCCACAAAACTTGCCGTTTTGGAGATGCTCTGACCCAGACGTCTAGCCATCACTATTTGGCCTTTGTCAAAATCACTTTTTGCTTGCCCATTTTTCCTGCTTCCAACACATGAAATTAAAGAATTTACTGTTCACTTGTTGCCTCGTATATCCCACCCATTGACAGGTGCCATTGTAATGATATAATCAATGTTATTCATGTCACCTGTCAGTGGTTTTAATGTTTTGGCTGCAACATTCTACTATTCTGGATTATGTCGTTTCTAAAATGCCTTTTAATGAAAGAGGAACACCTATAACATGACTCCAGCTCTCTAGAGAAAAAAAGGTTTCACTTACCTTTTTTCTAGCACAGAGACTCACTGCTGACGCTAACTTCTCCTCTTGCAAAATCTGAGGCTTCACTTGCACAATAATGATTTAATCCAATGCTCCTCATAGAGGAGCACTGTGGATGAGATTTTCGTGCTCACTTCCAATCAAATGTTTTTCATAGAGATGCCTTGAATCCAAATTTCCCTATGAGCAGCATTTGATGGCATTCAATGTCCTCATGAACGTTAAAAACACATGACTGATAGAAACTTGGTGGTTGTAGAGGAAATAGGTAAAAACAAAGAGGGAGGTGCAGTGCCTAGAATGTCCTTGGAATGTGTATAAATAACCATAAAAAGGAGGAGAAATATTAACATTGTCTGATCCGGATTTATCACTAGGGGCCTTGTTTCGGGAGTTGGAAGACTATGGTAAAGTTTCAAACTATAAATTAAATATTGGTAAATCCCAAATTATCCCAATCAATTTAGATTTTATGACAATTAATAGATTATTAGTTAAATATCCCTTCACTTGGTCATCTCAAGGTTTTAAATATCTTGGGATTAATTTCTCTTATAATTTAAAAGAAATGATTGATAAAAACATGGATAATCTTATAAAAGATACCAGTGATAAATTACTCAAAGAGTGGAGAAACATAGGAATTTCCTGTTTGAGAAGAATAAATATCATCAAATCATATATTCTACCTCATTGGTCATACCTGTTTAGAATGATCACTTTATCTATAACAATAACTAAACTTAGGCAGATTGATAAATTATTTCTGAATTACATATGGGATTATAAGAGGTCAAGGATCTCGAACTTACACGTAATGAAAAAGCCCAATAAGGGTGGCCTGGCTGTCCCAAACCTTATCAAATATTACGAAGCCTCTAGGCTGTACCATCTGTGGAGATGGCAGGGCCCAACCTCATTGGAAGAGCCTTGGTATAAAATTTAATCCTTTTTGTGTAATTCAAAAGATCTTTCTAATATGTTATGGATTGACGTTGGGGCAAGTGTAAAATTCATCTCCAATATAGAAACTTCATACATAAAAGATATCTATGAAATTTGGGTAAAATACAAGAAAAGAAATCACATTTTAAATAAAATTTCTAAGTATAGTCCAATTAAGACAATGGAATATAATATTAATGACCTAAATTTAGGTAATTGGATCAAATTTGGTTCAACTAAAATAGATGATTTATTAGAATTTAATAAAATAAGGTCTTTTTTACATCTTCAGTTAAGTCTTGACCTTAATTCAAGAGAATTATTCACATATCTAAGAATCAAAAATTATTTGGACAACCATTAGCTTTATGACAACACTAGGATAAATAAAAAATTAAATGATCTATTTAAAAATAATACTAATCGTAAATCGATATCTAGTTAGTATGAATTATTGAGAGAGGAAGAAAAATAGTCTAAACCAAAACCATGGAAAAATTGGGAACAAGAAAGTGGGTCTTTAATCGAGTTAGAGCAGTGGTATAGATCAAGTCAAGAAGTTAAAAAATCGTTGCATTGTCTAAATATCATAGAGCTTCATTATAAAATTCTTCATCAATGGCATAGGGTAGCAAAAATTCTAAATAGAATCAACACTGATAATTCCAAACTTTGCTGGAGATGTACCTGTGCTGAAGGTAGCTCTAAACATATTTGGTGGGGATGCAAGCTTTTTTTTTTTTTTTTAATTCTGTATTTTATTTGTGCATAGAAAATTCACATCTGGCTTACAATGCCACAACAGCTAAGGTAAACATTTTTCAACATAGCATGACTGTAGCTAGGCATTAGTGGGTATAGCACAATTTTGTATATAATAATGTCGCTTATCTAGGTGTTGTTCTATGTTGCTGAACAGGAAAGATGAATTACACGATTAGACAGAGCAGGATAAGATATGGTTAATGCTATAAGGTAAGGTGTTGCTATTGCAGAATATGCTATTAGGAGGTAGATTGGCAGTTGCCTATACATATCTGCATGTTGGTTGTGTAGCTATCACTAGTGATTATGCTAAATATTTAGAAGCTTCAGGCTGTTAGTACCTCTATAGTTAGTAAATAGAGCTTCAGCTAACACTGCATATGGTTAAATGTGCAGGCTAAACCATCAAAGCAAAACTATTTTTATCGCAGATGTTGTTATAATGCTTGCCCCCAGTCCACTCAGCTGAAGCTCCCAGAGGATGAGGCAGGCCTTAGGCAATCGAAGTTCAGCATGTGTGATCAGGTCGCTCCTCCAAGCCCCTTTGATGCGGTGTATACCGCAGGTCTATCCTGACCGGTCGCTAGAACTGTAGTGTGTGGGTGTTCTGGTTCTGGTTCGGGTGTCCGGCACCGCTTAGTCCTCCTAATGCGGGTTGATTGCCGACAGGAGCCCTCCCGGGCAACTTGAGATCCAGGTGAGAGGCAGTTGGTGTGGATGTTGTGCCGTGAATTTGGTGCACAGATTGCGACGTCCGTCTGTGTCTGCACCTCCGCGGTAGAATGCGTGAGACACACAGTAGAGGCCGCCTCAATGCCGTTGTATCCTGCTCTCTTGATTCGCCTGTGTAGCTTTGTTTTGCGTGGCTGCGAGGTTTGGAGCTGGTTTCGCCGTCTCTCCGTGCGGCATGTCCGGAATGTCTGCGCCTCCTTGAGCATGAGATGGGAGCAGGTATTCCCTTTACCGTCAGCGCACATGGCGCCCGCCATTTTAGGTGTGGCGGTCGGGCTCCCCGGCCTCAGTTGCAGTGTCGCGGTCAGGGCCACAGGGTTAGGGCTGGGATCACTCCCCCGGCCCAGAAGGGGGGGGGGCCGAGCCGGATCCGCGCCGGTCTATACCCATGGCTGAGTTCCGTGGCGCAGGATAGTGGAGCAGCGGCCGTCCGCCCCACTCACCGCAGGAGAAGGCCCCGGTTGGGGCAATGTGTCTTTCTCCCCCCGGGGGACTGAAGCTCGGTGAGCCAGCCTCTCCCCGGGTCCAGCAGTCTCTCAGCCCTGGGTTTCTGCTCTGGTGGTCTGATTTTAGGTTGGTGAGACATGATGTTAGAGAGTAAATTTCATTAAATTGCAGGAGCTGCTCAGGCTTGCGACCGTCCAGCTCGGCGGACCGGTCCCGCCCCACGGGATGCAAGCTTTTAAGACCTATATGGAATAAAGTATTTAGAGTTATATCAGACTTAGTGGGAGAAGATTTGGACGATAATTTATTGGTTGCTCTTTTCCATTTTAACTTAAGAAGATTCTCAACTCAAAATAAATATCTAATAATCCAACTTATGATGGCCATAAAAATAGAAATATCAAGACATTGGCTACAGAAAAAGACTCCATCTTGGACCCAAGTGCTAACTCAGCTTAAATACCAACACGATATGGAAAGGGAATAACTTTTCAATATGATAGCCACTTAAAATTTGATGAGAAATGGTCACCTTGGCTAGATAATCTGATATAACTGTATACTTTGGCGTTCTCTGTTATGAATATCCTTCTATATAAAGATCACTCTAGTTCCTCCCTGTGGTACTGTATTCAGTAAAGTTATGAAGTAACTTAATTATTATAGTTTAGGCCCGCCTAATCCGCTCAGTTCTTTTAAATTGTGATTTTTGTGTTTCTGTGTGTGAAGTTTACTTAACAGTTAACATATCCTTCTATTGTAAATCAAAGTCTATATGTCTAATTCTGAACTGTTCGTGTCTGTGATGTTATATATGTAAAATTTGAAAAAAGAATAATAAAAAAAAAAAAAAAAGGAGGAGGAGAAATAGGAAACTGATAGTGAAGTACGTAACAAATACAGTAAGGTGAGTGTAAATAAAATGAAATGCACTCACACTTTATAGGAGCTTAGGTGCAGTTCCAACTTGGATGCTTGGGCGGAATAATCCCCGCCTGAGGATATGGTGGAGTACAGACTCTATAGGAGGTTCTTGTGGATGCAGCTTCTCTTGCAGATATGTAGGAGAAATCAGAGATATATAGTGCAATATGCCAGACTCAATATTAAAATGTATAGCTATAAAAGATGTGCACTCATGTGTTCTGGAGCCTAGAGAGTGGTTCCACAGGTATGGCATGTAGTGGTATGATCCCCACTCAGGCCGCGAGTTTGATTGTTTAGATTGTGAGCGCGTTTGGGTGTGGTCCCCATCACCTACTGTTCCAATATGTCATATATTTTGTGAGAATTAAATGTCTGTCTTGTCTTCAATTGTGCAGCGCTGCAGAATATGTTGGTGCTATATGGATAATTGTATTTATAATTATAATTTCCCTGTACTTACACAGCTTTTTGGTGCCGATTCTTTTACGAATTCTGACCAAGAAGACAGCCCTTAACTTGACCCACATTCAGTCCAAAGCAATAGCCCATCAGCTGACTGTCTCTCTATGGGCTGCCTATTCTACAAAACATGGGGACAGCATTATAGTCCTGCAAAACGGTTTCCATGGCTACACGCCAGTGTATTAGTATATGGTGGTGATACCAATGTCCTATCCCTCTGTATAAAAAAATGATTTTGTGTGAACTGATAGTAGCTAGCATAGGGCCCTCAATATTATTTCAACAATTTACAATCAACTGCAGCACAGAATATATTTGCTATTAGTGAAATAATGTGACACAGCAGTAACAATTTTGAAGACAGAGATATTTCTATGGCTGTGTATGTTTAAGTGGGAGACAGACCATGTAAGGCCACCAGGCTCCCTGGATGTTCTCCAGTATTTAGTAAGCTGTTGCTTAGCAATGCTGGCAAAGCCCTTCCCTCCCCCATCTTACATTTCCAATTACATTGCAAGAAGCTCTGTAAGGATGCAAGCATGTTTTATTCATGACAGGCACAGAGGTTTCTCTGATAACAATAGTTTCGTTTGAACTTCCTATTTAAACTTTCCTGTGTAAATTAAAATCCGAAGAGCCTATCTCCATTTTTGTGAATGGTGCTGAAAGGATTTCCAAGGGGAACTGACATCATGACGTTTATTTTTAATGGGCCCTACAAAGCTTTTCAGTTACTGTACTCCAAGTAAATACTCCAGCTGGGTACAGCCAAAACCTACTAATGAACTATACAGGACAGAACTGAATGCATCTCAGGAGAAGAAGATGATGTTACTAGGTTGCAGCACACACTAAATTTAGATGGCAATCCAAGTGAAATTAATTTGAGGAAGTTTATAGAAAACATGTGCACTGCAAGGGTTAGATCTATCACAATATACACTCAAAACCACACATATATAACTGTAATAAAAAACACACCGACACAGGTATGTGGAAGAATAGGCCGTGGTCTTTTATTTAGTTTCCAAACACATTGTAACTATGGCTTTACTCACTTTCAAAACAACATAAATCTCCGGCCTCAAAAACCACCCAGAGATTTAACTCATGACTTACCATAGTCCTGCCCTCTATATAGCCAGAACTTAAACATATCAATAACCAATACCATATAGTCCACCCCTTTCCCCCCCCCCTTTGTTTAGGAAGGTGACCTTAACCCCAATAAAAGATCAAAACAAAAATAGGGAGGGAGGCCGGGGCAGCTGCTGCAGTATAAGATTTTGAAGGTGCCCACTCCACTGTTTTCTTCTTTTGGCGCCAAGCATTTACCACACAACGGCTTATATACCACATATTCCTGCCAAAAGTGCCCTCGCAGACAAACTCTCCAATTGGAGCGCTGACTGCGAGGACAGAAAAGATAACTGCCGACTGCAATATTAAATTGGATGTGTTATAGAAAGTACTTTTCTGAAAATGTTGAAAATGGGCATCATGCCGCCAAATTTGATGCCTTCACGAAGCTGAGCGAACACGTGCAGCACGTGGCACAAATGAACTCTTCCAACCCCGCAGCGCACATGTGTACATGGTCAATTGACCATGTACAGTCTGTTCTTGTGGCGAATAAGCTGCAAAGGGACTGTGCAGTATAAGTATAATGTTATAATTATATTTATATTGTGTGTGTATTAAAATAAATTTCTATCGATATAGATAAACCTCTGTTTATTATTCCTTCATAATATGACCTATGACAATTTTATTGTAAAGAGCTGCGGAATAAGCTGGCGCTATATTGTGACGGATTTTCATGTACTTACCTGTGTGCCTTCAGTTATACCTTCTCCCTGCTGTTTAAATGCCTGTATCAGTTTGTTTCACTATGTATTGAATAAATGTATTCGTCTACTGAACAGAGACCACTCCGGAGACCACTCCTAGGTGGCCGCCATTAAGCATGCGAACACGTGGCGAGAACAAAGGATGGCGGCCATCTTAAAACTCACGAATGCGGTCAGCAGGGCTTATGCATGAATTGCCTGGAACTATTTTCGGCACGGCAAACATGCGAACACCCGGTCCTCATGGAAGTCCTGGCTGAATACGTTCCCCTCCACGAATCAAACTGGCATTCGGTAGATAGAACCTAGCGAACTAGGGGAACATTCGCATGTAACCAGCTGCATCATACAAACGGTGGTTTTCGTGTAATTTGACGCGAACGGAGACCGGCTGTTGCTGCTGATTTCATGGAACTCTGAATCGGATACCTCTGAGCCGGTCAAACTTCTACACGATGCGACACGGAAACTACCAAACGGAAATTCGTGAGATTTGGATATGTGACTACCAGTATCCTCAGCTACCCAGGGATGTTAATGTTATCTTTGGATGTGTTATAGAAAGTACTTTTCTGAAAATGTTGAAAATTGTAATGTTTCTGGCCAGCAGATAATTGAGTTTAGTATGTTGCTGAAACTCAATTATCTAGCCTGGCCCAGAGGAGGAGTCTGTTACTGTTTAAATTGAATGCCTGTTGCTTCCAGTAAATCAGTCTTGTTCCAGCATTAAGCTTTGGCTCATGTGTGGATTATTTGGCGATACCAGCGATATTTATTCCTGTGGATTACTTGGTGATTTTCTTTTATTGGAAGAAGGGAATGCTTGACGGTGATACAGATTACTACCGTCACATATATAAATACCAATAATAATAATAATAATAATAATAATAATGACAAAGATGGTTTAAGAGCACAAATTGCCAGAGACCAACTACCAGTGTGATCCAGTTTGTTCCAGGATGTATCATAATTCACTATACAAATACATGCACAAAACAAAAAACAAATAAAGCGCTACAGAATATGTTGGCGTTGTATAAATGCTATTAATTTTAATAATAATAAACTGCCTGGCAAACTCTTTGTGTGTCCCAAAAGTACATATTTACCTGTTGCAACCACACTCGTATGGTTAAAAAATGCCAGCCTATACAACCATGGTTTAATATAAACGCTATGTTCACTAAACAGGAAATTACTGAGAATGAATCTGGAAATTTCCAAATGTAGGCCAGAATACTGAAACTGAAAACATTCCAACTCAGCAAGCTGATGTTTTTTGTTTATTTTTTTTTCAGCTCAGTAAATTTGCACCAAAATGTAAAAATACTCACCAGCTTCTACTGCAGTAAATTACAAGCAAAAATAACAAATATCAGTCAGTTATAGGTAACAGAGTAGGAGACTGGAGAAGATAAACAAAGTAGTAAGGGGAACAGATATAACCTATTTTTTCCCACTCTCTGTCCCTGTATATTACATAACTGCCAACTATCCATTTTTTAGAATTTGTAATTCCGCATGGGTATACGAAGCACTTGTGCAATGCACCGACTGCTCATTCATGTTCCATCATTTGACCCTGAGCTGCAATGAATGGGGTATACACTAGTACAATGCTCTGCTAACTCTTAATCGTTGCTGATATGGAAGTTAGATGAGATACATAAACATGTAAGCACTGTTACAATAGGCAGAGATAACTGGATCCTTGGGGAGCCATGGCTTCCCTTCATG